GAGGGGAGTGGGGAGAGTCAGTCAGTCAGTGAGTCAGTGTGGAGGGGAGTGGGGAGAGTCAGTGAGTCAGTGTGGAGGGGAGTGGGGAGTCAGTGAGTGAGAGTGGGGGGGAGTGGGAAGAGTCAGTCAGTGAGTGTGGAGGAGAGTGAGGAGAGTCAGTGAGTGTGGAGGGGAGTGGGGAGAGTCAGTCAGTCAGTGAGTGAGAGTGGGGGGGAGTGGGGAGAGTCAGTCAGTGAGTGTGGAGGGGAGTGGGGAGAGTCAGTCAGTCAGTGAGTGAGAGTGGGGGGGAGTGGGGAGAGTCAGTCAGTGTGGAGGGGAGTGGGGAGAGTCAGTCAGTCAGTGAGTGAGAGTGGGGGGGAGTGGGGAGAGTCAGTGAGTGTGGAGGAGAGTCAGTCAGTGTGGAGGGGAGTGGGGAGAGTCACCCAGGCACCTGTTCAGTAGATGTCCTCCACTTCTTGTCGCTGGGCTCTCAGTCCCCCTCCTAACTCTAGTCTCAGTCTACAAAGGGATCCCAGTTTCTCTGTGTTGCAAAGCACCCCCTCACCTGACCTCTCTCTTTCTGTGCTTTGATATGTTCAAACACACTGCCACACATCACAGGGACATCAATCACTGTGTGTGTTCCCCCTACACATACACCCCCCACCTGTCTTTCTGCCACTCTCCTCTCCCCACTCTCTTCCTCTGTGAAGTGTGTGACTTGACCTACGAGGTCAAGACCTCCAGCACACCTCAACACTGCCCTTTACTGCAAGACATCAAACACCAAGACAGAGGGAGGGAGAGAGCTGGGAGAGAGCTGAGAGAGACGGGGAGAGAAGAGACGGGGAGAGAGCTATGGAGAAGGGAGAGAGCCAGGGAGAAGAGGCACTCAGGCTCAGGACTGACCCCCGCAGCAGTTTGAAGAGCATGCAGCCCAAAGAGAACCAGTCTGCACTGCTGTCATACGCAGTGCCCTTCTGCAGCACCTCTGGTGCCATGTAGCCATGTGTTCCCCTGCAAGACAGAAGAACACAATCAGACAAATGCACAAGCAAGGGATTAAGCAATAACAAACAGCGAGACGGGCACAGAGAGAGAGAGCAAGACGGGGACAGAGAGAGACAGAGAGCGAGCGAGCGAGACGGGCACAGAGAGAGAGAGAGCGAGATGGGCACAGAGAGAGACAGGGAGAGCGAGCGAGCGAGACGGGCACAGAGAGAGAGAGAGCGAGCGAGACGGGCACAGAGAGAGAGAGAGCGAGCGAGACGGGCACAGAGAGAGACAGA